GGGTAGATATTGTCTTTTTACCTAAGTTAGTGAGGACAAAATAGACATTTTATAAAAGATTACATATCTGCAATGAGTATTCATAGGGGGTCCCCTATAAATAGACATTACCAAAAAAATGTGCTATCTTTATTACTAGTGCAATGTTTTTTTACCATCATTAGTCCAACCAAACAGATCATTTATGGTAATGCAGTGAGGATTACCATCGCACACCTGTATGGCGTTGAACCAAATGGCTCTTAGTCATATTTGGTAGAAAAATAAAGCAAAAACAACTATACTTGCTTAGTAGAGTTTTCAAATTATTTCATGCTTTTTGTGGCAAACCTGAGGTTGACTATGGAAGGATATTACTCATAGAAGATCATGGATTATGTCTTCCTCTCTTTCTTCCATGTATTTTTGGTTGGCTAGCGATTTGATTCTTTGTGACCAAATTGGGAAATTGGATTCGGAGATGCAAGAAAATAATTGTTTAAACTTCTCCAATGCATGTTCATCATCTCAACCAACCATCGATGTGGAAGAAGAAGATGATAGAGCAATTCTTGTGGTTCAATTGTGGTATGAGACATAGGAAAAGAGAAGGGAGGGGGAGAGAAAGGACAAGGGAGGAAGGGTAGTTGAGGAATGTGCTAAACCTAGGCATTTTTACTTTCTAAAACTCTAAAATAATGAAAACAAATTCACATGAGATTCAAAACCTCTAAGTTGGAGCATTTTGATTGGGTAAAGCACAGATGAGTGGATACTTTGAAAATATCTAAACATTTTTTAGGGTTAAGGGTCAAAATACCCATGAACTTGTACCAAAAGTTCACCCAACACCATGAACTTTCTTCAGGCTCAAAATACCTATCGAAGTTTAAAAAAGGGTCAATTTTGACATCACCGTGAAAGCTTTACTACGTTAACTGTGAGTGAGACACCGTTTGACTGAGAAATATGATGTGGAGGCCCACGTCAGTTCTGCAAGGTGCATGTGGCGATGACATTTGAAAACAAAAAATGAAAAGGAAGAGAAGGAGTCAGACAAAACAACATTGGCTGGAAAAACACCATGAACCAAAGACGAAAACGTGAGAGAGAGAGAGAGACAGAGATTTTAGAATTTAGGGTTATGGATAAAGCGAGAAATTGAGCTTGAGAAAGTGAGACAGAGTAAGAAATCAAGGTTACAAAAGTGGGACAAAGCGAGTTAGAGTGGCATGTGAGTTGATTGTTCAAGTGACACAGTGTACAGATTGCAGAAGAACCACAAGAAGGAATCCTAGGTAAGAATCAATTGGACCTGTGAGGGGAGGTTTTTTTTTTTTTTTTAGTTTGGCTAAAGTAAAATGGCATTAAAGCCCTTGTGGTAATCAATGGGTTTTGTCTTCACAGGGGTAATGGCACCGAATCGTGAGCATGAGAGGGAGGAGATGTACGAAAAGAAGCACACAAGGTTGTTGAGAAAGGTAAATGGCATTTTTAAGTTAGCAAAGAGTAGTTGGAAGCACAATAAGATTGTTCTAAGAGAGGGTCGTAGTAGCATCTCAGAAGCGATTTTATTAGGTCCATTAGTATGGCTGAATGAGAATGATATGCCAATAAATGACTTACATGAAAACGAGAGAGCCTACATGTAGGGAATTGAAAGACGACGCGCAGTGGAAAAACAACTCAAAATTTTAAAGCTTTCAATCCCTTGCCTGGATCTACCGATCGCGTTTAAGTCAGGTAGTAAGAAGCATTACCTTCGGTGTTCGGTTTCCAGGTGGCTTGGTGATTCCGCCGTTCAGGATGCCTTTGCTCGCCTCCTTTATTGTTCGAAGTTGACAACTCTGGTCGGCTTCCTCTACCGGTATCCACACGAATAGCTCTCTGGTTATAGACGGCGTGCTAGTGCCCTTTTGTCCGTCTAGGGTTTTCAGAGAATCCGTCCACTCTTATCTCTCTTAGGCCGTCTCTTATCTGTTGGTACTCTCACGCTTAAAACCCTAGCTCCTCATATCAAATATATAGGATGCTATAGGTTTAATGAACAATATTTAATTTCGAAATTAATTCTAAATTAATTCCAAAATTAATACAATATCAAATATTGCCTAATCAGATAAGAGAATAATTAAATAAATATGGTTTATATTAAATCTGTCTCACAGATTTAATTCACCTATTTATTTAATTCAAAAATAAAGATATGACGGAATTAATTTACATAGATCTAATTTATCCTTATAAATTAAATCTAACAATTAATATCTCTTATATTTATATAATATATATACGAATTTATATATATATATATATACACACATCCACCCTATATTATTCATTGAATCTGGACATATCTTAGATTCAATGAATCTGGACATCATAACTCATGTTGGGCTATTTTGTGTGCGACCCTATAGGCCCATATGAAGTTGGTAGTGGGCCATTAACTATAATGACTCACAAGTCGTAAGTGGTCTCTAGCAAGACATCACGACTACCCAAATCATATGAGGATCGTTGAACGATGTAACCTTTCATACAACCATATCACGTCTCTTTTGTCACACGACATTTTGGTCATGGATGAGGCATGGAGAACGTCATCCTCCTATCCATGACCGTTACTTTCTCGATCCCTGAGTAGTCTGAGTATAGAAACGGAACTACCTTTCCATTATAGTATGGCCATACATTTCTCAGACTCACTCATCGAGGGGCCCAGTAATGTCTCTCTACGAATGTGAGGGACAAATTCCATCTTGACCATTCACATTCCTCCGCATGAAAAACCACTAAGCCTGAACATAGTCTTTATGATCACTCGGTCAAAAGTAACTTTTGACTAGGTCAAAGCTAAGCGTTTCTCATGTAGGAATCCATGATGATCTCAGGTCAAAGGGCACAGTGACATGGTTTGTATATGAGAGAAGCTTATGACTTAACCCATGCAGCTCTCTCATAGCGAGTCGGTCCAACACCTTGTACTCTTACATGTGCCTATGACTTTAATTTATATCTCTATATATCTTTAAAGTCATACTGGTCTTATTTCATCTCTGCTCCCACATAAATGACCGACCAGGGACATTTAGGATAAACCATGAGTTATCCAAGGATAGTCATCACAGTAAACATGCAAATAATATGATAACGTAATTAATAAATTCATAAATTAACAATGTTCAAAACATAATGATTGGCCCCTAGGGCACAATTTCCAACACTACAATAACAGAGGTGAAATTGTGGTTCAAGAGACATAAGAGCAAGAGGTAATTGATGTTAGAGATGATAACCCTGATGTTGGTTTAGAAGATCAAATTGATTTTAGTGTTGAAGATAACCATGTGATTGGTTTAGCAGATAACCCTGTGATTGGTTTAGCAGATGACCATGTAGTTGGTTTAGAAGATGACCTAGTTGTTGGTAATGATAAATGAAAACGCAAAGTGATTGAGGAATATGAGAAAGAGGATGAGACTAAATATGATGAAGAAGGTAATGGTAATGAGTCTGATAGGAGTGAGGAAGAGGATAGTAATGATGAGAATTATGTTGCTGAAAGTAGGAACTTTGATACAGAAGAGAGTGTGTTTGATGATTTTGAATTGGGTGAAATATCTATGGAAAGTGACATTGATGATGAGGAGGCAGAAATGGGCCTTCGTAATGATAATGGGCCAATGGAACAAGTATTGGGCCAAGAGGAAAGTGAAGGGCTGAGTAGTAGGTCGTTGTTCATGCTAGGCATGACTTTCATAGACAAGGAGGAGTTGAAGAGTAAAGTGGATAGGTACACCATAGAGATAAGGGTTAAGTTAAGGGTAGCCCGAAGTGATAGGAGGGTTTTTAAAGTGGTGTGTGAGAAGGGTTGCCTGTTTGTGTTGTATGCTTCTAGGGATGGATTGGATGTCGGCTTTCAAGTAAAAACATTGTGCTATGAGCACAATTGTGCTTAGGTATATAAGAACCCAAGGGCTTCTGTTATATGGCTGGCTCAGCACTTTAAGGAGAAAGTGCAAGAAATGCCTAAATTTAAGATTAGTGAGATGAAGAAAGAGGTTGAGATGGAGTTCAAGGTGCATGTGAGCATTCAAAAATACAAGAGGGCCAAGAGGAAAATAATGCAAGAGATGAAAGGGAGTTATAAAGATGAGTTTGCAAAGCTAGAGGCTTACTACAATGAACTACTCAAGTCAAACCCGGGCATAGATGTTAGTGTTGAGTTGAGCAATGAGGCATTAGAGCAAGGTAGAAGGGTTTTTCACAAGATGTACTTATGCTTCAATGCTTCCAAGGTATGGTTAACTTAAGAAATGTATATTTAATGGTTTTCCAATTAGTTGCTTTTTGTGTGACAACAATTGATAATAATGCTGTGTGGCAAGTTGGATGGAGACAAGGTTGCCTACCTTTCATTGGTGTAGATGGCACATTCTTGATAGGGAAAGCAAGGGGAATACTATTGGCTGCAATGGGAATTGATGCAAACTATCAACTGTTCCCCTTAGCATTTGGTAACCCAAAAGGAGAATGGGAATAACTGGACCTGGTTTTTACAATGGCTTCAAAGATCTCTGGATCTAGGTGGTGGTGAGAGAATGACGTTGATGTTTGATATGCAAAAAGCAAGGAAGAAAAATCATGTTATCAGTTCACTTCATTGGTTTCTATCTTAAGTTTATGTTTTTTTGGTAAACGATTTTTGTTTAAAGCTTAACTAAGGTAATTGGTCTATTTCAAACTCTTCTTCAGGCCTTATGTCAAGCAGTCACAGATGTCCTCCCACGAGTTGAACATAGACTTTGTGCAAGGCACATATACACAAACTAGAGCAAGAGATAGAGGGGAAATGAACTTAAGAAAAAGTTCTTTACTTGTGTATGGAGCACGTTTGAGGAAGAGTTTAAAGACCACATAAAAGCTGTAAGCCAATTGAGTAAACCAGTAGCTCTTACTCTCTCCACTTATAATCCCAGAGCATGGGTAAGAGCTTATTTCACATGTAGAAGTGTTGGATGGTTGATAACAATAGTAGCGAGTCACTGAATGCTTGGATTGATGACTATAGATACCTTCCTGTTATTAGAATGTTTGATGGGATTAGGATTAAAATGATGGGCAAGTGGGCTAAGAATGAGAACATTATTAGAAACTGGAAGAATGATCATAGTCCTAAGTGCTTAGAATTGTTTGAGGCTAATAGGTACCTAGCTTCCCAGTGTAGAGTGCATTTTAGTGGAGATGAGGGTTATGAGGTTAGTGAGGGACAAGACAGACACACAGTTTACTTGGCAAGGAACGTGTGCACGTGTAGGGCATGGGATTTAATAGGAATCCCATGCCAACATGCAAGTTGTGCCATGTGACATGCTAAAGTCGATCCCAAAACTCAAATATCACATTTCTATCACAACGACACTTATCTTGCTTCTTACCGAACTAAGATGCAACCAATAAGAGGGAAACAGTTTTGGGACTTGGATAATTTCCTTCCAATGCAACCTCCCCTAGTGTGTACTTTGCCTGGAAGGCCACTTAAAAAGAGGATTAGAACTAAAGAAGCAGATCGCAGGAAGAAGAAAGCTATAACTGTGACCAATGTTTGTCAAACTCCACAAGCCATTCGTCTTGAGCAAGGCCAGCATGAGAAGTTAAGTAGGGGAGGAAAGAATAATAAATGTAGCATTTGTAAAAAAGAGGGCCATAATAAGACTACATGCAAAGAGGTAATCTTTTGTGACTCACCTATATGTTTCACTTGTTCATTTCATATTTCAAATTTCTAGTTTTGTACATTAACTGAGCTTAATTTTGTGATATGGCTCACCTATATGTTTCACTGCAATCTGTAGGCTCCACCTATGAGCACACCACGTGTACTAGGAGACAGAAAGGGCAACCACAACAACCACCACAAGCTGAAGCCATCCACATGTCTCAAGAACCACCACAACCCTCCCAAGCCTCTCAAGACACACCACCAACATACCAACCATCTCAACACACATCACCGCATACCGCAAGCATGCCAGCCATCTCAACAAATGAAGCTAAACAGCCCCCACACAGAAGTGTAAGGATCAACTCAAGAGTTCAATATGGGATGGGCATTAGAATTGATGAGAACACAGGAAGAACTGTGTATAATGTGAGTATTTCTATGTTCTTTGTGGCATTTGAATTCAGGGCCCAAACTTGATACTTTTTTACATTTTTCATTTATGCAGCCAGGCTTAAGTTCTAAAATTTCCTCGAGGAGGGTACTGCACAGGAATATATGCATAACCATGCGGACACAACCATAAAATTCCCCTTGTCAAATGAGAGAGAATTGAGGAAGTCTAGGGTTAGAACTCAAGTACAGGACAAGGAACCAGGAAGATTCAGCTCAGTGTGCTTGGCACCCCCCACCTGCCATTCAAACCACTAGGTTTGCATTGGAAGGGACAACCATCTGTTACAACTTCACAGCTATTGGCAAAGAGACAAGCCATGATTTCACAGACCAAAGACAAGGCAAAAAAGACTAAGCTATGATGTAGCTTATGTATTTAGGAATGTCTTTTGGGGACCTATTTCAATTGTGCTTATGTATTTAGCAATGTATTTTGGAAACTACTCCTTGCTACCATATCTATTTTGGCACATTAAGTTCTTTTGGTAAATCAGTCACAATGTTTAGCTCGTATTGGTCTCCACATTTTGTATAGATCCACATTTTGGGAACTACTTCTTGTCTCCACATTTTGCAAGTTCATTTGGTAAATCATCAGTGTTTATTGTCTATCATTAGTATTGTCAAATTGATGGATAATCAATCAACCGAAGCTGTTCAATACTAATGAGCATTGTTTGATTGTCAAATTGGTCAAATTGTTCGATTTTTGAAGAATAGGGACTATTATCCTCATATGCTACATAATCCCATGCTGACAACATCCAAAAAAACCTGCCTCCATCTATTTTAATTTCAATTTCTAATAACCAAGCATTGTACAATGTTACCATGGCCAAACAACTACAAAAAAACCATAACCACTACAACAACTGATCAACTCCACAAAATAATTCCACCCCTTTCTTTTAGGTTTTAGCTTCCCACCCATAGTACAAAAATGTACACCCATGTCAACACCACTATCACCATCGCCACTCTGAACTTCATTTGCCCTTTCCTTCGTTCTTTCTCATAGTCTTCATCTCTCCTTTTAAACTTTCTCACCTCACCATGGATTGTTGGTAACTCTTCATACAACCTATCACCATCCTTTCCTCATCGAAGCACAACATTCTCATCATATAGCTTATCTATCTCATCGAGAAGCTCCTTTATGACAGCATTTGCCCTCTCACCCAAATCATCATTATGCCAAGCGAAGAATCCACAGCCCCTGTCCTGTCAATAATAGTCTCCAGTGTCACAATTCGATGGCCATGACACTCAAATGCTAATAACCAGTAAAAAAACAAGAACCACATTACCTGGTTGTATCTTCGACATCCATAAAACCTTCGACCCGGGTTTCCTTTAGTCCACGCTGTCCATCTTGGAGCTACAACATTGTGGTGGTAGTATCTCTTGGGTCCTTCATAGTCCAGCTCGCGAGTTGCCTTCCTTAATAGCGCTATGTGTCTTCTACTTCTTCCTGTGGTCATCGTTGAAGAAGACGCCATTTCTCCCCACCTACCTTCTCATTCTTTCGTCATATTCACAGATTCAGTTTCTACCTTCCTAGATTTATTGCTTCCAGTTGGGTAGTTGTTGGTGTTAATGGACAGCTATAGAGACATTAACACATTCCCATCAGCATGTGTGATTTCACACCTGTACACCACCGTGGCAAGATAAGAAAAAACTTAACGGACGTTTCCTGACTTTCATGGCGATGTCAAAATTGACCCTTTTTTAAACTTAGATAAGTATTTTTTAGCCCGAAAAAAGTTCATGGTGTTGGGTGAACTTTTAGTATAAGTTCATGGGTATTTTTGACCCTTAACCCTATTTTTTAATAGGTGGATACCTGTGTTTAGCCAAAAAAACAAAAGCAAAATCTTGGTAAGATACTGTTTTTTTGTGTATGGATAATATTGGTAAGATACTTTTTGAATACTTGTACAATAACTATATATCGTTGTAGGGAAAATCCGCTGATGACAAATGCACATGCATTCCGATTACACTTTAAATCCTGGAAATCAATATGGAGGCAGATATTCTAAAACTCAAATTTGCAACCATAGCATCTTTCAAAGACCTCTAAAACTTTGATATGAATCTTAGTTCTTGATTTAATACAATTCTTTAATACTCCATGAAACCTTACAATTTCTTTAGTATACAATGGAGCCAGTTTATTTCCTATTTACATCTGCACTTTTCACAAATTACTAGTTTGTTGTGTGATTTTTAATTCAAAGGACTGTTAGTTCTTTTTAAAAGAAGAATGTTTCCATTAACCTCTATCTCCGTTTTCTCTCCATTTGTTATATTCATCATCATATTAATTAACAGTCACCAGTTGGATTTAATATCTTTTCAAATATTATTATCATATTGAATAATAAAGATATCTATAAATAAACGTAAAAAATCATATTTATAAAGGATAAAAATTGATATTTAATACCTTTTTAGTTCAATTAATTCAATCTAGGTGTTTGTTTCGATTCAATCCGTATTCATTTTTTTAATAAGAAAAAAATAAATTCATTTTATGGAGCCGCTGGAATGAGACAAAATGCTCACATCATTAATGAGTGGTGCTGGGGGAGGATTGGGACAAGGCATTGACTTCAAGTCAACCGTTGTTGATTTCTTTGCTTATCAATTGCAGAATGACTAAAGTCAGCCAAAATTAGGGTCAAGCCGCTTGCATTGACTTGGACAAATTTTGAAAACTCGGAGTCACTCTATTTTTTTATTCCAATTTTTCATATAAACATTTTTAAATCCAGAGAGACTTAAAAGAATAAAACAAATTCTCAAAACGTGGACTAACTTTTTTTTTCACATTTTATATACAATTCCTGTGAACATTAAGAAATAGAATAAAAATAGATCTTATTTATATTTTTAATTAAATTCCACAAAAGAAGAAGGCTCGACATTATTCCAGTACTTCAGTCCTTAATATTAGAGTTAAATAATTAATTTATGAATATTAAGATAATTCACTAGTTTAGTTAGTTATTTATAACAAATGTATTTTGATTTCTCTAAACTACCCTATTGAATTAATTATGTGAATTGGAACTAACTCTTAACTCAGAGCCCCTTAATTGATATGTGTAAAAAATTATACATTTAAGAGGCAAAGTGATATATTTAGAACTAAAATAAATCTATTGTCTATCTTTTCTTATCTTAAGGATCAGAGTAGTATTAGTTATTGTAGGCACCCCTCACTACTTTATTGACAAATATAGTATAATGACCCAAAATTAAAAAGGTAAGGGTGCAATATCCTGAATTTTATTTTAAGATTTAGTAAAAAAAAATTTCAAATAATAATAATTTACTACTCCATCCGTTCCTTATTACAAGAGACAAATAACTGAAGTACGTTAATAAAAAAAACAGTTAAAATTAGTTAAGAACAATTAATGTGTAAAAAGTATAATTTGTTTTCCAAAAATGCCCTCATTAATAAAGAAAGAGAGCATGAGAGAGAATAATTAAAATATTAAAAGAAAGAGAAGTGGGAGGGAGAGAGAGTGTGAGTTGGAGATAATAAATATGGGTAAAATAGGAAATCAACACAAAAAAGTAGAGACAACTTTTAAGTGTTTCTTATATATAGGAACATACCATAAGCATCAAATGTCTCTTATAATAAGGAACGGAGGGAGTATTATTTATTATAATAATACTTTATTATTAAAAAAAGGATCACTTTTTCTACCGAATTCGGTGGAAAAGGAGGCAGCATTCAATTTGAAGAAGAAGTTGGGGATGGATCGTTGGGGAGAAGAGTTAATGCGTGAAGAAAAAACATGGAGAAGCAGGTGAATGTTAGAGATAAAAAGAGCGTGAGGGAAAGAGAGAGAAAGAAAGAGAGAGCAAGGAAGAAAGAGAGAAAAGGTACGGGAAAGGGCAAGAAGCTCAATCAGTAATCATTGTGAAGGAGAAGATAAATTTTGAAGATAATTTAAATATATAAAATTACTTCTTTTTATCAAATTTTTTTATAAATTTTTTTTATATATTTTACGCTTTCTAATAGTAGTATTACTATAGTGATTAAAGAAAATTTTGAAACTTATATATGGGATAAGTTTTGAGTTTTGGTAATAGATGATTATAAAAATTTAGAGGTAAATGAGTTGTTAATATTAATTAGTTTAGAGTTTTGTCTTTGTTGGTTTT